ATCTAAATGTATCTTGGGTCTAACAGCAACACAGTCTTGAGTCTAATCTTCTTTCATAAAATATTAACTTCAAAACAATGATCCTGTTGATTTTTAATTTTATTTATCAACAAAAAGACAAGGGCTGCTAATTTAAATAAATATGGAATAGACTAGGCCTAGATCTACATCTAGAGTCTAGAATCTAGACCAGAAATCGGAGTAGATCTAGGCCTAGATCTAGATTATATAACCACAATACTACTGCAAGAATAAACTAGATTAATGAGTTTGTACCTGTCCAAACCGTCGGTAGAAAAATTCCTATTGGCCCTGCATGAATTTATAGGAATGGGACTGAAATAATTGAACCAGTGCAATTCATCCACTTTTTAGCCCAGTTGGGAGTGATATAAATTGATATTAGACCTACTAAAGTTTTGTTCAGTTTAACAAAAATGTAATTCTATAAAAATGACAGGAACACTTTTCTTCTTCCCAAAAAACAGATTTTTTATCAAGAGAATTAATATTTTCAAAGAAAAACGGAATTTACTTACTTTTTCAAGGACTCTCTCGAAGTAGTTTAGCAATGCAATACACCAGTTTACAGTTGTATCAGTGCGCATGCGCAGACAGTTGACCTCGGTTCATTGGCCCCGGAACGCGGGGCCAATAACCTCTGACCTCTGGTATTTATGGTAAATTAAGATTGCGCCCATGCAAATGATGATGTGCGCGCACAACGCAGCGCGTAGGGCAGTGATATTATCAAAATTTGCATGGGCGCAATCCTAATTTACGCATAAATACATGACCTCTAGGTCATTGGCTTTGTTTAAAATGGCGCACACAACTGTAAACTGGTGTATTTTGTGATCGATTACCCCAAATTGACTAGCCTTGATTGCAGACACCTAAAAATATATTTTAGCTTAAAATCGATTTGATGAAACAGCTCACAAGTATCGGTTTTAAGCTAAAACTGATTCGGCCTTAAAATTGATTTTTAAAATCGAAATCGATTTTAGTTGATGAAACACCCCCCAGATCTTGCCAGTAAAATCCCTGTCACGAATAATTATTTCCACTCGTTCCTAGGAAACCCAAATCCTCAATCAATATTTCTTGTACCCATACATGAAACTGAGATTATTGATATCGTGAATAACTTAAATGTAAAGAAAAGCTCTGGCTGTGATGGTATCTCAAATTTTCTCCTCAAAACTATTATTCATGAAATAATCTCTCCATTGACATTTGTATTTAATTTGTCCTTAGTAGATGGAATAGTACCAAGTAAAATGAAAATTGCTAAGGTAATTCCAGTCCATAAAAAGGGTAATGCCGATGATGTAGGCAATTACCGCCCAATATCCTTACTGACCTCATTTTCCAAATTACTCGAAATATTAATATATTCTCGCACCATCCGATTTTTAAACACCTGCAACATCCTGGTAAATTCTCAATTCGGTTTTCGCCAAAAACATTCAACTACGCACGCGATAATATTATTAATTGATAAAGTAGCAAAAGCCATCGATAATATGTCTCATACTGTTGGTATTTTTCTGGACTCATATCAATTCCTTCACGCTCCTTTTGGGAGATCAACCGACCTGCGCGCGCATTTTATATTACATGACATATTGTAAAATTCTCGACATCTTTTTCACTTTTCTTTACCATTAAAAATCGGAATTGAGTATAATATATCCTCAATCGAGATATGAGAAGAAGGAAACATTTCCTTTACATTCCATGTAAAACCATGCCCTTACTTGAAAAAAACCCTCCGTCATTTTGACGTTAAACTTTACAATCCATTTAACTTTTTTTACTTTCTCATACATAATGTCCATTGATCGGTCGCACTGTGCTCGATTGCCTTTCAATATACCAATCTTTAACTTTGCAGCAACGCGTTTTGCGTCAAATTTGTAAATCCTCAATCCCAGACAATGACATATGATACATAAGCTTTTCATACATATAAAGTTCATTTTGATTGATTCATTTTTAGCCCCGTCAATTTTCATGTCAAATCATGCTTCATGTCCCATTTTAGAAGCCCGACCCAGGGTTTTGTGCCAGCTAGCCGTGTATGCATACATGTACGTAATGCTATGCATACACATATAACTGAACATCCATAAGTACAGTACATGTACACACGCAGCGCAGCGCGTACGAGCGCACTGCACATTTCATTGGGTCAGTACCATTATGAAAATAGGGGAACAATGAGTGGGATGGGTTTAGTGCCGTAACAATAAACTTGCGCATTACACGCGTACGTATAATTAGAGCAATTTATGCACCCCCAAGAAATAATGAATACGGCTCGACCTCTCTACACACAGAACTGCACAGATACCGCACAGTCTGGTCAAGGCGGTACGCGTAGCGTTAAACTGCCAAATTTACAGAAATAATTGTGAGGAGCGCTTTTGCTATGAAAGGAATTGATATGTCTCCAAGGCCTTCGACACAATTAACCACGAGATTCTACTTTACAAATTATCCCATTATGGGATCCGTGGGAAGGCCTTGGAGTGGTTCCGAAGCTACCTTACTGGTAGAACCCAAATTGTGTCCATTCATAACCAAAACTCAAACTCAGAATTAATATCTTGCAGGGTACCACAAGGCTCCCTCCTTGGGCCACTCCTCTTTATTCTTTATATCAATGATTTCCAAAACTCATCAACAGTTCTCTCGTTTCTCCTCTTCGCAGACGACTCAAATATATTTCTTTCTCACAAAAACCCAAACATGCTTCTTGATATTTTGAATTATGAACTAAATTTTGTATTTGAATGGATACAGGCTAACAAACTGTCTCTCAATTTGAATAAGACTAATTTTAAGCTTTTTTAAGCAACACATTAAATACTCTTCCAGGGCAGATTCAAATAAATGGATTTAGTTTGGCCCAGACAAATTCAACAAAATTTCTCGGCCTATACATTGACAGTAAATTATCATGATATGTACATATTGATTATTTTTGTGTAAAATTCTGTCAAGAAATACAGGTATTATATATAAAATGAAATGTTATTTTCCTTCTCATGTATTACACACCTTATATGCTACATTATTATCACCCTATCTAAATTATGGTATATTAGCATGGGGGAACTAATCGAAAGTAAATTTTAATAAAATTTTCATAATTCAAACAAGATCAATACGAACAATTAACTCTGCTGATTTTCGCTCACATACTGATGGATATTTTCGTACTGACAACATACTCAAAATATCTGATTTATATTATTACTGTCTTGGCATCTTCATATACCAGCTAAACAAAGGTGATTTACCCAATGTCTTTACTCCCATGTTCATAAAAAATAATGCCGTCCACCCATATCCCACCAGACAAATTGATCATTTCACCTTTACTGCGTCCGCACTGTATTTGCACTCAAAACAATAATTCATTCAGGACCAACATTTTGGAACGCGCTTAACAAGGAAATAAATTAATCCCCGTCGTTAAATTGTTTCAAGAGTAAGCTTAAACAGTTCTTTTTAAATTCATATGACCAACTTAGACTTTGAAATTCAATTATTATGATATTCTATACATTGTACATTCCGGCCTTCTCCTATACTTATGCTCTTATGCATGCGCGCCTGTTCTCGGGGGGCCCTCGGGCATGCAAACGTGCTTGCCTAGATGTGCCGCGTCCTTGTTTTTCTTGCTGGGGTCGTCGGCATGAATCGGTCATTGCTAGGTCGGACAACCCATGTGACTTGTCCGGCCTGGCAACGGCTGCTGCTGTTAGCTGGTTCATGCAGGTGATACTGCGGGGAGGCATGGGGCGTGGCGCGGGTGAATGCGTTTGCGTGCCTTGGGGCTCTCTGGGAGCAGACGTGCGTGGGTTCGAATGCATTTTGGAAACAGGATTGTGTCTGGGCTACGGTCTACATTATTGTATACACTACTGTAACATGATTGTTCATGTCTACTGCCTCGCTCGGGTGACCTCGTTTAATGACCTCAATATTTTAAAGTGACTATTGTCTCATCTCTTTGGTAACAAATTAATTTGCTTGCTGTATTTGCTATTTTTGCTATTTTTGCTTGTTTCACGTTGTATATAATCATCTTATGTTAAGGCTTCTTGCCCACCTATTATTACTGTTACGTCCTCTACCATTACACCTACTTTTATCAAATGTTAGTTTTATTTATGGGAACCGATAATCTACAAGCTAAGCTTTTTAATAGGTTCCCCACATTTCACTCTGTATAACCTTATATTCATTACAATTAATTTCGACGTCTTTTCAAAGAATTAATTATATAATGTGACACTTTTAGCATATTTCATATTATGTTCTATTTTTGTCAATTATGTAAATTATTTTTATTTGTGAAATGTGAAATAAACTTGAAACTTGAAACTTGAAATTTGAAACTTGAATACATCACCAATGCATCATTGTCACCGGGTGTATATAGTTCCTCGTTGTCCCTCTGTTGAAGAAGCCTAATCTAGATCCAAATTTCCTTGGTAATTACCACCCATTTGCCAATTTGCCATCTGTGAGCAAGCTCTTGGAAAGGATCGTGGCTAACCAACTAATGAATCACGTGGATAGTCACCATCTGCTCCCTGTAAACCAGTCCACATACCGCAACCTCCACTCAACAGAAACTGCATTGTTGAAAGTGCTCAACGATCTACTCCTTGCTGTTGACAATGGTGATGATGCCGTTCTACTTCTACTTGGGGTAACCCCCACCCCCCCCCCCCCCTGCGTACGCGCCTGGTTCCGACACATGCTCCACGACAGTTGCTTTTGGGGGTTTTCATTTTTTAAAGATTACTAAATAGAGTTGCTTGTAATTAGGATTAGTATTAGGTATATTATTTGATTAAAGTTAAAGTTAAGGATTTGTTACTGGAGTTTGTGAATGTATCATTACATGGGGAAGACTGATGACTTACCTACAATTATACAGTGTGAAGTGAATAATACTTGTATTGATTTGTTTACAGGGACACAGCAGGCCAGGAGAGGTTCAAAGCGATCAATACCACGTACTACAGGGGGGCGCAGGTAAGCTTTACTTTATAGTGTATCACGTACATTGTGACACGATAATTAGACAGGCATGTCTTTAATAGTGACCATTATATACCTCTCTTAAGAAATCCAGCCATCTGATTGGTCGAAATTGCATTCATATACTTTAACTATTCCTGTAAAATTCCCGGTTAAATTCCAAACCCATGTAATAGTTCTAAAAATAGTTCTAAAATCCCAGTAACCATGGTTACCGGGAAAATAGTTCAGTCTTGGTGAAATACCCATAGGTTAACATGTTAAAAAATGGTCTGAGCGATCGAGGATACCGTACGTGTGCGATGAATTGCTCGGTAATTTCAATACAATTGAATCTCGATCGATCTTACCGACATTGTTGACATGAAGACGAAAATAAACTTCCAAAAACAACATCTGCCGATAGATCTTGATCTAAGTTCGTGCCAATGCATTGCAAAAGTAAAAGAAGGGCCCGTTTAGTGGAGCTGCCGCGAAGCATCCAGCACGCGAAGCCGTTTTCAATCCATTTTAATGTATGGGTCAGAGAAAACTGCTACGTATGGTACCAGTGCGTGATGGCCGAGCGGTCTAAGGCTGTGATTTAAGTCACATCATCGTTGGTACGCAAGAGACCGAATCCCATCTTCGTCTAAAAAAATAAAAGTTTTAGTTTTTAGTTTTGAGTCTACTCTCAAAGATACACTCATAAAAAAAACGTGCAGATAAACTAGATAAAGGCCAAGGTGGTGTCATAAGTTGATTCTTTTTTTTGGCATATAAAAGTATTAATGACTGCTTTAATATTCGAGAAAAAATTGTTTTTATACGCTCTCGGGAAGGTTACAATTGAGCTATTGCCCTCGGCACGCCTCGGACAATAGCACAATTTTAACCTTCCCTTGAGCGTATAAAAACAACTATTTCTCTCAAAACAGTCATTAATACTATACCACTGAATGGAGGCCACCTCTCTCTCATTTACTGTTTTCGTGAAAGAGAAAATAGGCCCATTTACACAGCCCAAACATTAGTCCAAATATTTTTGGGTGAATATTTCGAGTGCCATTTACACCGACCTGTGTGGGAGTAATGCGCTTGGACGACCATACAAATGGGCGTGTCAACAGTGGTCAAAGATAAGATAGAGGCGGTCCTTCAATAGATAACACAGGGATAAAATGATGTTCAGAATACCAACTTACAACGATATTAGCGCTGTGTTATCTCTGGAAGTTCCAACAAAGGATAACACAAAACTTACAACAATGTTCAGAATACCACCCCTGGACCCCACGCCAATTTACGCTCCACTTGCTTCGCTCGCTTTGCTCTTCCTGATCGAAAATACTTTAGCGCCCCCCCCCCACTTTGAAAAACGATTCGCGGGGCCTGCATGAACCATGTAGGAGTGGGGGGATGCGGATTTTGTTGTCTGCCCCCCCCCCCATAAAAAAAGAAGTTTTTACTCATTACGCCACTGCTCCCTCCCCCCCCCCCGTCCCTCGCATTTTGTCCCCCCCCCCCGGTCATGAAAAGAAATCACCGCCCCTGGTATGGGCCTTTATCCATGATTCAAAATTAAGGTTTTCTTCACGTTATCGATATATTTATGTTGTATAATATGTTTTCTTGTACGGTAAATTATTTTGAAATAGAAATTGCCTTTAAGTTATATGTACGGTGCCATGGGACAAAAAAAAAAAAAAATTCGCTTTCTGGTAATTCATCTCATTTGATTTTGTAACTCCAGCGCAGCGTTTTTCAACCGGGGTGCCGCAAGAGAATGTTAGTTACATTGGGAAAACGTTGATTGTGTGAAAAACAAATATCAGAAACAGTTAGAGTACGTAATTACATAAGAAAATAAAGTTTTAAAGATAATGAAGTGTATTTCGTCCTTGTTCGCTGACAACATTTTGACAGCAAGGCACCCGAATATATATTATATATTTTATTTCGAGATTACACTCATTACATTTAACAACATGATAAACAAGGACAACGAGAGGCCCGAATATCCTCATATTCGTACATCAAGGTCATGACCGAATATATCACTTTGTATTCATGTACATTCGGCGGCAAGGTGCCTGCATACAGTACTTTATGGTGTGTTTATTATAAACTAATTTTTACCAGTTTGAAAAATGTATTCTCATTTTTTATTCTTAAATATGGTCATACGTGTGTACATAGCACTTGACGAGTGCCAGAGTCATGCAAAATAAGTATATCTGTGAAGACTTTGGGATTTAGGTGAAACTTTTTATTTCTAAAGAGGGTACCGACTTGTACCGTGACTAACAACAAGTTGAAATAACGCTGCTCCAGAGTAATGTATTTCTATGCATTTTGAGAAGCGCTGGACAATTACCTAATACTTACATCCTTGGTGGAAATCAGCAACCTCACTGGCGTTGCATAAATTATAATTATAAAGGGAATCTATAGTAATGAGAAAGATAACGTGCTATTTAGTAACAGGCGTGTACGCAGGGGGTGGGGGTTTAGGGGTTGAACCCTCCCTTTACCTTTTTTATGTGTGTGTTTTGGTGGAACCCCCCTTTTTTATAGTTTAATAATAATAATAATACCCCCCCAAAAATTGTAACAATGGGTGAACCCTTAAAGCAGACCTTACCCCCCCCCCCCAACGAAACGAAATATCGATCGGCCAAATTTTCAAAGTTTGAGACCAAAAACAAATTAAATCGTCCATGTATCTTTCTACGGGGGGGGGGGGGGTGGTAATTGTCCTCGGGGGTAGTTGTCCTTGGGGGGGGGGGGGTAATTTTCCGGGGGTAATTTTCCGGGGGGGGGGAATTGTCCTTGGGGGATAGTTGTCCTTCGGGGGTAATTTTCCGGGGGGTAATTTTCTGGGGGGTAATTGTCCTTTGGGGGTAATTTTCCGGGGGGGGGGGGGGTGATTGCCCAGGGGGTAATTGTCCTAGAACCTGGTCAAAACAACTTTATACAGCCAAACCAGTATACAGTCTTCTTGACCACGTGCTTATACTCCGTAGTGGTGACCGACGATAGATACAGTGCTTCCCAGCAAAACGAAACCCAGAATTATCGATGTTTTATCGTAACTTAATCACAATTATGATTATAATAAATGACACATATTTGTTCAGTTCAGTTCAGTTCATTTATTTCAATCATAAAACCATAACACAATATATATACAAAAGTAACATGAAACAATCATAATCTTACAATTTTGGAATTAAGAAATCGGAGACTAAAAAGGAAGTTTGAAAAACTTGAAAGTATAATAGTCCCCTGACACAAAAAATAAATAACGAGATTACATGTGTGTACACGTTACTACAACAATAAAAATATATAAATAAGATACTACACATTATAGATACACACCGATGAACACACACACACACACACACACCACACACACACACGCACCACATACACACACACACCCACATGCATGGTACATTGCAAGGTAGAACAAGTTAAAAGAAAGAGTTAAGGGAAATAAGAAGAGACCAACTGTCTCTTCAATAGAACTTTAATGCAAAGCTAAGATCCTCTTCTTTCATTTGATGCAACTCATACACTGTCGCTCATAAAGGTGGAATATTTTTTTTTTATCCCAATTTATGGAATTATTTTAAAAATTATTTAAAAATAATAGATCTGGGTTTGTTTTTAATTTATGGAAACTGCCCCCTACACAAGCCCCCGCTGCGTACAGTAATGGTTCCGTGACAAAACAATGGCCTCGTAACTGTGAAGCCCCAGGATCAAAACCGTGTCGATGTGCTATATAAGTGCCCGTTTGTGGGGCTTTAATCATCATTACTGTCATTTATGAGGGCGTAAGTCCCCTAGTTAATAAGCATAGTAGCATACACATGCTTTAGCAGTCCCGCAAAACACACATTGGCAAATTATTATTCAATAAAATCTGAGAATGTATACTATTATCTAGATCTATTATTTTTAAATAATTTTTAAAATAATTCCATAAATTGGGGTTAAACTAAAATATTCCACCTTAAAGTGACTCTCACACTCTGCCGTGTAGGCCTACCGTGTGCCACCGTGCGCGAAAATGTCTGCGGACGGTGGAGAACGGCGAGGGCACACGGTGGTTCGTTATCAAAGCGGGCAACACGTTAATAGGGCGTTGGCGCTTATTTACACCCGGTGGGACCCGGCGAAAGTTTTGGGCATGTTCAAAACTTTGGCCGGCTGGTACCGGCCGCAAGTAAGCGGCAAGATGACGGTGTTGAACGTTATGAGGACGGTATGAATACGTTATGAAAACGGTCACGCTGTATGAACACGTTCACAACACGCTCATAACCCGTTACAGAACGGTGATGAAAAATGGAGAGCGGACTGACCGTTGCCGTTCAAATCGGGGTATTTATGGCAGTCGTGTCATGACGTCAGCAGTCCGGGGACTCGCTCACAGGACGCTCCGAGCGGTGAGGGGACGCTAAGTGAATGGTAGGTGGCTGCTACAAACCCGGTGCACACGTTCGAGACCTGGTATGGGCCTGGTATGGAAACGGCCAAAATTTTCAACAAAAGTCAATCTGGGCGGTGAAGACGGTAGAAGCACGTTCAACACCCGGTATGCGCCCGGTGAGAACGGTCAGAAGATGGCAACGAAACGGAGAAAAGATTAATTTTATGATTTTTTTTTTGCGGCCGGGGACAAGTTCGCTCAAAACCCAACGTTCTGGACTCTGTTTTTTTTAATTAGCCCGGCAGGTGGACGGTAGGCCTACACGGCAGAGTGTGAGAGCTCCATTATGAGCGACAATGTATCATGCATGTTTCACGCATTAGTGGTTGAAACAATTTGAAGAGAGGGTAACAAAAAGTCGGTTGGCGGACGGTAGCTGAATTTCAAAGAGAAAATCACATTTCTAAAAAGTTCATTTTCTGCCCTTTCAAATGACACTTAAATCAGGAAAAAATAACCAGGAATAACAAAGTCCTGTTTGTGTAAAGTAATGCATTACATTTGCCTGCATTTCCATGATTTGATTAAACAAATTCGTTTTCACTGGCTGCCTGCTGTAGGGACAAATAGAGTTGACAAAAGACTTCACTTCGTTTCGTTGACGATCAGCCATGCATCAAGTCTTTCGTCGCCGAGCGTAGTTTGGTGCCCCGCCGATCACCTGCCGGCCGCCGGGCAACTCCTTTAAAATCAGCCGATGGCCCGTGGGAGACCGCTTCGGCGATACCTAAAGCTATGGTCACAATTTTAGGCATCGCCCAACGATTTTTTTTGGAGAAGTCGAGCAGGCTGTAGAACCCCAGCGATGCCTGGGCGGTGCCCTGTCGATTTCCCGTCGGTCGCCGGTCGCCGGTCGATTTTAGGCCAAAACTGGACAAAATACGCTCGGTGCCGAGGCGTTCGCCGCCCGGGCACCGACCTAGTCGAGCGTTCACCATCGAGCGTTATTCTACACTTTTGGTTTTGATGGGAATATATATATATATATAACACTTTAAAATATTTGATGATTTATTCGAATTATGGCAGTTGTCACTTTTGTAACCATACACGTAAAGGACTTCATAAAGGCACATGTATTTTTTGTATATTCGTTATTACAGGGTATCATGGTACTGTACGACATCACAAATCAGAACTCATTTGTCAACATGAGGAAGTGGATTAGGGAAAGTGAGGAGGTGAGAATGCAATTTTTAATTAAATATTTAATGTATACACTACGAATCAAGATTCTAGTCCTCTGATTGGTCCGTAGGCATGAAATAGGCTATTCAAGGCAATTTCTTACCTACTGAACAATAATTAAAACTAATGCCAAGGCAAAAACACTGGGTTGAATTGAAGCTTGGATCTCCATTGGAGCTGGGAGATTGGTAGAATTTGTATTTAATTGATGTCTTATGAGCTCCTTATGATGAATTATTGCATTCACGTATAAGAGAAATTATATTTGAAAAGTTAAATTGCTTATTGCATACTGTAGTAGTTGCTGTGATGGGTAAACATTTGGCAAGCTTTAGTAGTTTTGACTGTAAAGGCGGACTGTATTTGAATGCACTTGTAGCTTAATAGCCTATTGATCGTAGCAGTTGCATAGGATGTTTCATGAATAATGTTGTTTAATGCATTCAAATTGATTCCTCATATTGGCAAGTCATTTTTACTTCAACAGGCTGCTTGCCACTTGCTCATTAGCTGAGACAATCTGTAATGTTTTTTTCTTCACTTTTACTGAAAAAAGTAGTCTACCTTGAAACCTCTTGTGACTTAATGCTATGAAGGCACTCAGTAGATCATGAAATTTGATGAAGGAGAAAAAAAGCTTTCTGATTCTTTAATGAGCATAGTATGGTCATGATAACATGAACGTACTCTAAAGTGATCTTCATTGTAAATCCACAGACATGTACACACACAGATTCGTTTTCTTTTAAATGTTATCTGGCATTTTGTCTGACATTGGTCTTTTTTTTTGGGGGGGGGGGCCGGGTTGATCTATATACATCGGACCAACGTTTATGAGAATGTATTGTAAAGTTCTTTGATTGTCAACCTTGAAAATTGATATTGAAATTGATTTTAGAAACAAAATCTTATTGATACATATTACATATTTATCACTGTAGCATGGTTCAGCAGATGCAGAAAAGATGATCTTAGGAAACAAATGTGACATGGATGAGACTAGAGCAGTTTCCCAGGAGAAAGGAGAACAGGTAAGGGAAGAAAGGAAGGAAGGCAGTGGGAATGTGTGAGAGGGGGAGGAAGGAACAAAAAGTGGTAGGGAGGGGCAAAGGGGGAAAGGAAGGATGGGGACGGGGAGGAAGGGAGGGTTGGAAGGAGGGAGGGATGAACGGAGGAAGAGAGATAGATATAAAGAGAGAGAGAGAGAGAGAGAGAGAGAGGGGAGAGACAGAGAGAGGAAAGAGAAAAAAAGAGACAGAGGGGAAGAGGGATGGGGTGGGATGGAGAGACAGAGAGAGAGAGAGACAGGAGGAAGAGAAAGAAAGATGGAGGGTAGAATGAAGGGAAGGATGGAGGGAGAGAGAGAGGGGGAGAAAGGGGGAGAAATAGAGAGAGAGAGAGAGAGAGAGAGAAAGGGGAGGAGGAGAGATGGTGGGAGGGAGGAGGAGAGAAGGTGGGAGGGAGGATGTGAGAGGGAAAGAGGGATGGGGAGGGATGGAGAGACAGAGAGAGAGAGAGAGACAGGAGGAAGAGAAAGAAAGATGGAGGGTAGAATGAAGGGAAGGATGGAGGGAGAGAGAGAGGGGGAGAAAGGGGGAGAAATAGAGAGAGAGAGAGAGAGAGAGAGAAAGGGGAGGAGGAGAGATGGTGGGAGGGAGGAGGAGAGAAGGTGGGAGGGAGGATGTGAGAGGGAAAGAGGGATGGGGAGGGATGGAGGAAGAAAGAGCGGAGAAAGGGGGATAAAGAGAGAGAGAGAGAGAGAGAGGGAGAGAGAGAGAGAAAAAAGAAGGAAAGAGGGTAGGAGGGAGGATGAGAGAGAGAGATATATATCTATAGAGAGAGAGAGGCAGGGAGTGATACAGACATAGAGGGGGAGAGAGGGAGAGAGGAGGGAGAGAGAGAGGGGAAGAAAGATAGGGAGGGAGGGAGGAAAAGAAAGAAAGGAGGGAGAGGGGGTAATAAGGATGGGGTGGGATAGAGGAAGAGAGAGGGGAGAAAGGGGAAAAAGAAGAGAGGTAGAGAGGATGAGAGAGAGAGAGAGAGGGGAGGAGAGATGGGTAAGGGCAATGTGGAGAGAGAGAGAGGGATTTTTTCTCCAAATGAGGGAACATTGGTGTAGTGGTTGAGATCATGCCTGGTCTTGGCTTTAAATGGAGCTTTAGGTGCATTTAGTCTTGATGGTCCATTTTGTTGTAAATAGAGATATCCTTTACACTGTCGACGTAATACAGTAGACCAATTTCTTTTGTTAAACATACCAAGACAATCCTCTGAAGCCCATATTCTGAACATGCATCTACCACATCCTCCCAGAAAATATCCTAGACCATCTCAATCTAAAATCCTGGTCTAGCTTTTCGGGCTTAGCCATTTTTTCCACGTTTGATGGGGTCTATTGTAAGGCTTTATAGAAACCTTTATTCATTGTATCTCACTATTAGAACATTGATTAATATATAGTCTTGTATCCTTAATAGCTAAAAAATGTGTGATACGACGGTGCCTGATCTCAATTCATAGGGTTGTCTATGTGCAAGTAAACATGATAACATGTGTTCAAGATTCTATGATTTAGAGCTTTGGAAAGATATACAACATGCACCCTAAACAACCCATGTTAGTCTTTATAATACTAGAAGTGTTGTGGTCTAGTGCATCGTGTGGTTCGCAGTTTATGTCCAGCCGTGACACCAAAAGGCGATATCCTTTGGCAAGGCATACATCTACATTACAAGTCTAATTTATTTATTACTTGAAGCTTATTAGATCCTCAGGGCAGCTTTGCTAAAGCCAGGGTAATAATCCAACTTTGAAGGGGCATGTTCCGGGATGCATACATGCACAATATAAATAAAGCAATTATTATCATGATCTTATTATTTCGTTGAGCATGAGAAATATCATAGGTATTGTAACACTTTCATGTATCCCTTTTGAATAGTTGGCAAAGGAGCTTGGTATCAAGTTCTTCGAGACGAGTGCAAAGGTTGCCATCAATGTTGAAGAGGTTAGTACTCAGAGAAAAAAGAAGTATTTTCTATTTTAATTTGAAAATTCCATTCACATATTTCTTGTAAATGATCAAGGATAATTCTTGAATGATCAGTTTTTTCATGGGGATACCAATTAATTTGTATTTTACCTGTTTATATGCTTGTGTATTTATCTATTATGTTTTTGCTGCTGTTATTTGTTTTATTGTTACCGAACAGGGCCTCACGGAAGACCACCATTTGGTGATATGTGCCACCCTGTATAATTACCATAAATAAATAAATAAATAAATAAAAAATAAAAATATCGTCCCCTTAGTCTTTTCAGGAGCCCCACATGAAAATAAAAATTGTAATGGATTGTAATGCATAGAAGTCAGTGAAAACGATAAACATATATACATGTAGTTTCACTATTACACTTATCGCATCGCATATGTCGCATATGTTTCTGTAACTATATGCATGCTATGCAATATTGACATTTTAGTTCATTATTCTGTTAATGATATAACATGAATATACTAAGAAATTAATCAAACTTTTAATCAAATTCTTGTTAAATATTACAAAAATACCTGGTGGATAACATCACACGATCATTATGAGGTCAACTGTTGGCCGACCTACAAAGTGCAAAGTATTCATAGATTGTTGATCGCATTTAAAGATATGAACAGGAACTCAGTTTCATTTCGTTTGACTTCTTTTATTCACATAACACTAGGCTTTCATGACTCTTGTCAGAGATATCAAGTCAAAGATGGACAGGAATATGGATGCCAAAGGTCAGCAAAAGCCAGAAGTAATCAAAGTCACGAAGAAGAATTCACATAAGAAGAGTTGCTTGAACTTCTGTACCTAAATGTGATATGCCTTTCTCCCTAACCCTATGTGGCCATGCAAACTCCCTGAATCTGAAGATGCAAACAATGTAAAGAAGAGAGCCAATGCACAATTCAAGTATGCTCTCCGTTTTATAAAGAATAATGAGAAAGTTATGCGGGCGGACTCTGTTGCTCGTAAATTGCAGGGTAAAAGTTATTATGAGTTTTGGAAAGAAATTAAATGTGTTAATAATAGTAAAGCGCCTCTTCCAACTAATATTGAAGGTATCTCTGGTGATGAAAAAATAAGTGAATTGTTGTGTAATCATTATAAGGATTTGTTTAATTGTGTACAGAGTACGGTGCAGGATGTTACTAATGTTGACTTTGATGTAAATATGGTTATCTCTCCAGAGGAGGTTAAAGAAGCTATCAGAAAATTAGACAGCAATAAGTCATGTGGTCTTTATACTATTACAGCTGAACATCTAAAGTTTGCAAGCCCGAAACTCATGCCGTTGCTTGCAATGTGCATTTCGGGCTTTTTGATTCATGGTATCTTACCAGATAGTATGATTTCCGTTGTTTTGGTGCCAGTCATTAAAAATAAAGCTGGTCGCATTAATAGTAAGGACAACTATAGACCTATAGCATTGGCAAGTGTCCTGTCCAAAGTGCTGGAAAAGATATTGCTTGGTAGGTTAGAGATGTATATTCTTACCAAAGATAACCAGTTCGGTTTTAAAGCCAAACATGGCACTGACATGTGTATATTTGCTCTGAAGGAAATCATTGCGAGTTATCGTAGCAAAAATTCTTCCTTGTTTCTTTGTTTTCTTGATGCTTCAAAAGCTTTTGATCGGATAAATCATGAAAAGCTGTTTACGAAAATGGCTGATAGAGGTATTCCTAAGTACCTGATTAGGATACTCGTGTTTTGGTATGCCCATCAAACAATGATGGCTAGATGGGGAAGTAGTGTCTCTGAACCATTCCATGTCAGTAATGGTGTTAGACAAGGTGGTATTCTTTCTCCCTTTCTCTTTAACCTGTACATGGATGGTCTATCCGACAATCTGAATGCTTGTAAAAAAGGCTGTGTAGTTGGTGGTATGGTAGTCAATCATTTAATGTATGCAGATGATCTCGTTATTATTAGCCCGTCAACTGCTGGGTTGCAGAGTCTGCTCAAGATTTGTTCTCATTATGGATATGATAATGATGTGAAATATAATGCAAAAAAGAGTCATGTTATGATAATTAGATGTAAGGAACACCGTAGATTGGTATTCCCGGATTTTTATTTGTGTGGAGCTAAACTCAATGTCTGTACAGAGGCCATGTATTTCGGTCATTTCTTGAGGATCTCAGTGATGATAAAAATATTAGTAGACAGTGTCGTAAATTATATGCTCAAGGTAATATGCTTGTTAGGAAATTTCATATGTGTTCTCCGGATGTGAAGGTGGCTTTATTTAGGGCATACTGTACACCTCTATACACTGCGCATCTGTGGTGTAATTTTAAGAAGAGCAGTTTGTACAGGCTTACTGTTGCCTATAATGATGCCATGAGAATGCTTCTTAGGGTACCTAGATACTTTAGTGCTAGTCAAATGTTTGCTGAGTTGAATGTTCCAGCCTGTTCGGCTGTATTACGAAATCTTATGTATAAGTTCATCCAGAGAGTGGATGTGTTTGAGAATGGTATTTTAAAGATGTTAGTGAACCCCTCGTATAGTTGTCTTAGGTACACATCGGGCCTCTGGAGATTTTGGCTGAATAGCCTGCTGACACATGGCAATTGACCATTATGTTCCTGTTACCAAGGATTCCAGTATCCTTGTTTGTTTGTTTTTTTATAATAGTTATTTATTATAAGTTTATCGTTCTGGTTAGTTGAACAGAGACAGATTGTTACAAGATACAACTTCAATAGATTGTTATTGATTGTTATACATGTACTTATTTTAATCTTACAGTTACAGGTACAGCTTAGAGTTAGTTTATTATGTTTTTTTTTTATCAACCTTGCAGGTTACATGTTACTCTTAGAGTTTAGATTGTTTGTACGTACTGTAGACCTAGTATAGTTTAGTTATACTCTTTGTATAGTTTTGTTGTTATTATACTCATCATGTTTATACTCCCTATATATCTATGTAACATATGTTTTATGGACCTCTGCCTTGTGTAGTTGAGTCTGAAATAAAGTTCTGAATTGAATATGCGGGAATATTAAGACACATGCAGGTTCCGCATCTGTATCATAAATTCACATAACTTCTTAATGCGGAATCAAAATCTACATGTAATTAAAACTTCAAGGCAAACTGCTAGCAAGGGGATTCGTGAAAGTGATCTTTTATGCTTCAATTTTTGTTTCCTTCAGAAATATAATATTACCTTATATTTTGTCGTCGTCTTTGAATGTATCCTTGTTTCTCACACACCTTCTCATGGGAGGCGCAATAGCTCAGTCGGTAGAACAGTGGTCTCGAAATCCGGTGACCCGGGTTCGAAACCAGGTCGATGCGTTAGTGCCCTTTGGTAAGGCACTAATCCTCATTACCAGGTCCTTCGAAGAGGATCTAAAGCCGTCGGCCGTTTGGTTGCTTACTAACGAGCATTTATGCTTCCTTAGCAGTCAAGTAAAATAACCACCACCACCACAAAGAGGATGTTCTGCCTTACACGGTTGGATTAATGTGATTCCCCGACCACTTCCATGTGCACTAAGAAAATGCCACAATTACCAAAATATCGGAGATGAGAAATATATGATACCTTTATATTTAATATCTTTGCTTCAAATTACAGAAGTTTATGATTAAAGTTGCAACTTTTATGTGTGATATATCCCCTCACAAGTTTATCTTCATGATTCGTTGTATATTCAAAGTGAACTCAAATTACTCCTATGAAGAGATGATAAGATTGTGTATTTCATTGATCCTCGGACTGAATGAACTTACCTGCTGGCGAAGAAGATGAGATTTCATGAACAAAGATATTATTTATCCCTAGGTTTAAAAAAACAGCGCATGTGTACTTTGAAAAATGTATGGTAAAACAAAACATTTATCAAATAAAAGTATGTGTTATGTACTCTTTTACTGATCTTGTATTTGTAAATTGGATATTTCTATTCATGTATTGTAAGTTAACAAATTTCATATCTTGTATTATTTTTTTTTTAAAATTTCTATTCATCTTTCATAAATTATGTTGTAATTGTTATTTGATATTTCTATTCATCTGCTGTAAGTAAACAAATTGTTTGTGGAACATTTTAAGCCGTTTTGTCAAGAGCAGGGTCCTGAGACTGTGATCAGGAGAAGAATTAATTACTGTCATATAGCATGAGATGTTGGTGTCCGGACAAAGATAAATGACAACGTGCAAGACCTGCTTACAATATCCCTATAATTATAATTATGAAAGTATAATCGTTCTTTCATTATTGTTATCCGTTTCTCATTTTAAAACCCACTGAAATGATGAAGCAAACAGTATTTGAACTATGGGTGATGGAAGATACTGATACTCCTCATTCATGTGTGGAAACTGTACATTTAAAGAGAGGGTCGAGTTCTGGGAAGAGGTGTGGAAAGAAAATCAGATACAAAATGTTACCTGAAAAGCATGGCCCTTCAAATGCTTTCATATTCTAAATATGGCATGTAAAAACAAAACAATCAGGACGAATTTGTATGCCACATGTTCGTGTAGTCCCATATACATCTTTGTGTGCAGTGCTTGTAACTTTACCAATACTGGGCAAATGTTCTCATCATGTTGATGATTCCAGAACCTTGCAGTACACATCAATACTTTAATACTAAATGATCAACCTTTTTTGATCGATTCCACAACGTTTCTCTCACAATGCAATTGGATGGCCAGAACTCAACTTTATCTTTTAAAGATGATTCTCCCCTCTATTTTGTTGCCGGTATTTCGATATCTGCACTGTGAAAAGGTTGGGCAATATTTGTGTCAACACTTTGCCCAACGTTGTGCCAATAGTCAACCCAACCATCTATTGGGCAATATTTTCCCCAGTGGTATTGGTGAACGTAAGTACCCTACTTCACACGTGCATCATTTTTTCGTATTTTGACCAAAATTTGGGCAAAGATATGACCCTTCAACTGCCCGACTACGGTAGCCCACTTGTTGGGAAAATCTTGACCAACTGTTGGGCAAAATACAAACATATTACCCAATAGATGTTTGGGTTGACTATTGGCAAAGTGTTTGAAAATATTGCCCAACCTTGTCACAGTGTGTAGAAGAAGAAGACAGTTAATGATTGTTGCCGGTTTGATGATTTGATTATGTAACAAAATTGCTGACATTTTTTCTATTGGGAAATATTTTTATTAGCTACATCTCAGTGTTATCTTTTAACTAGTCTTAGTTGGCATTCTGTTGAAAAAAGAATTAAGTACCAGTATTGTGTACTCACATATAAGGTAATACAAAGTTTTGGTGTAGGGTCATGAATTTGGTTCAAATTAACATATTGGAAGCATAAGCGATCTTACAATATTTAGTGATCGTTGTCGCGGTTGAAATCGAGTCTAAAGTTATGATATTGTAAATGATAAACTCTTTATGTTGTATAGTTCCCTCTCAAGGTCAAGATATTAATTAAGCTAAAAAACGATGTTTCTTGATTAAAATCGACCGATTAGCTATTCCCGTTTGGAAATTATATACCACAACTACATATTCTGAGATTTTCATGGTCGAAGCTACCATTCATCAGAATTTACCGGGAGCAACGGTAAATTTTTATATTCAATTTTTCTCGAAAGCAGAAGTGTTTTAGGTTTAGGGGCTAACTTTCTAGTGCTTTTAATACATCCACAGGGGCATCCAAATGTATCAAAATTGTAAAGAATCACTATACACCCAATTTTCAAAATTTCCCAAAAACTTTGTATTACCTTTAACGAAAACGGTTCAATTGTATATGGAATCTTTGCTGACCATACGCTAAACCCACTACTCTTATCGATATTCTTTAAACTGTCTTTCATTGATTTCCCAACCAAAAGCAGATTACCAAAAAAACGGTCGTTTATTATGTAGCTCCCTCTTTGTACAATAAACTCCCGCAAGATGTTCAGCTCTCCGTCTTTCAATCCTTAAAAAGTAATGTCAAGTAGTTATAAATGTGTTGTTATCACATGGTTGTTATCCTATATTACCTTACTTTTGTAACTCTCGCAGTTTTATTGTTGATATAATATGTCACTTATTATTTGTAAGTTAAAATTTTCTAGAATTTAAGGCTGAACGTTTTTTTTTCTTCAATAAATCTTTGTTGTTGCTGTTGATGTTGTTCATGTATTTTGTATATTGCAGCATGGCGTCATTGTATATCAGTTTTTCACTGAATGACCTTCCTTGCTTTTTAAAGAAGACATGAATAAAAAACCTCTATAAATACAATTCTTTATCAACTTTTATTAAGTAATACAAAATGAGTAACGTCATACTAACCGTATTTGTTATGTTCTTATATAAAAAAAACCTCACAAATACAAAATGTAAAGTTTGAACTTTGATTACTTTTAAAATATACAAATGAAATGGAAACTGAGTCACCGGCAAATATCACATTTATTTTACTCCATATTTGCAATATCTACTTTGGCAGCAGCAAAGGTTCATATAATTTGTATCAATATTATATACCCTTAAGAAATTGTGAGAGAATGAGACTTTTTTAAGGCCTAGTCGTAAATATTTTATCATGATCTCTTGACAAATCATCGTCAGTTTGATTTAAGTCATCATTTTCAAAAGTTAATTTCAATTTTACTATTAATACTTATTATTAATACATTATAAATAAGGAGCAGTATCAAACACATTTAATATCATATCAAATTTCCTTTATCAAATAATAATTGGTTTTTAAACACCAAAACTTTGATTTCCTTTTAGCTGTTGCAATAGTATGCTTAAACATAAAGGTTCGCGATATAATAAAAAGTGATTATATCTATACAGAAAAATCGAAAGATATAGATATATATATAAATATATGTAAATATATGTATATATATATATATATATATCCAAATCTAACAAATCAATAGAACATTAATCTTATACAAATAACACATGACGTAACTACAACATCAAATTTAACTTATCAGTCAAATTATCAACCGAAGTTCAATAATTCTTTGGTAAGTCATTTTTTCGTTTTGTTTTTATTCTTTCCTTTTTTCCTACACTATATTGCTCTACTTTCTATGATTTGTCTTTCAAGAACATGTTTCAATACAGAATCTCTTTTATCTTTTCCAATTATATTATGTTGTAAAATCACTTTATGAACACTCCACAATGCTATGGTCAGGAATGAATTAGACAATTCGGCAACTACTTTTCTATTTGTAGTAAATGCTAAGATATAACACGTTGTATGTGTAACACAGCACATCCTTTAAGGGAATGTGCAAAAAAAGGAGAAAAAAAGAAAGAGGGATACCTTGACATGCTACATCGATATTAATTAAAGTGACTTGCCTTTCGGTCATTTTAGTTTATTATTGTTTTAGAGAGTGGTTTGCAAAACCTCACGTGAAATCTGCCTGACATCAACGTCTACTTGACTTTGATTCGAGCGGAATTCTCCCTTCGATACCCCGCCGAAGTCAGACCGATCGATTGAATCGAGTGTGGTGCAAAACGTTTTCAGGAGCAAAGATGGGAGAGTGGGATGGACCGAGTTTGAAACAAAGCTAAACAGATGATCACAAAGCTTATTATACTCTAAAGATCAGATACAAGCAATCTTTCCTTGGATGCTTTTAGCGCCTTAAGGCACCTTGGCTAAAGGTGACTTGTGACAAAGTATCCTTTGGATAATATACACTTAAATCAATTAAAGGGAAAGTCCACCCCCAAAATAAGTTTGTTTCTATAGAGGCAGAATAATAAGAAAATCAGGTGAGTGAAGTTTGAGCAAATTCTGAATGAAAATAAGAAAGTTATGAACTATTGAAGTTGTGATCAATCAAATACAAATTGGCAACTCTGTGACTTATCATACGAGCTCTCCTTCATTTGCTTTGTGCATAATATTCCATAAAATCATGTTTTCTTCGTTATTGATGACGGAATATATATTTGTTCCTTGCAGGGGGAGTATAGAAACATATTTGCAATTATTATATTTAGGGTGCATGTATGGTTGAAATT